TCTGTTCATAGCCCAGAGCTGCTGTTTTATTTGTTTGTTTTTTTTTTTCATGCCCTCACTCATCATCACCATGCAGTTCAACATAAAAATGACTTGTTTATGGGAAACTGTCCGCAAAGTTTCAACAGAATTAATCTAACCCTCTGGCCCCAGCAACAACAACAACAACAAAAAATGGCCCCAGTTTTTCAATGGCAGAGGCATACATGGGGCTATACATATGTGACTACATGTGGAGAATTTTGAGAGAAGACTTATGGTGGCATTTATCTTCCCCCCTTCCTTCTTCCAATAGAGTCAAGTCCTATTCCTTGCCACCAGATAAGCTATTTTGCCATTGATAGAATGACCTCAAAGCCTTACCACGAACAATGATTTTAAAGTTCGTAATTAATTCCTCTCTGCAAGAGGAAAAGCAGGCTGCCAACCCCAACATTAGCTACTGATAACTTAAGTATTAACTGAATCAGTAGGGTGATCAAAATGTACACTGAGTACACACGGTGGTGCACAGCACAGCTGTAATCCCAGCAGTGGGGAGGCTGAGGCTGGCTGTGAGTTCAAGGCCAGCCTGGTCTACAAAGTGAGTCCAGGACAAGGCTATACCTCCCTCCTCTCCTCCCAGTCTTGCACTCACAACGACCTACCCCCATTTCCAGGGACGACTCCCAATGGTTACCAACCCACTCTGGCATATTAAGTCTCAGCAAAACTGAGTGAATCTTCTCCCACTGGGGCCTGACACAGCAGCCCAGCTAGGGGAAAGGGATCCACAGGCAGGCAACAGTCAGTGACAGCCCCTACTCCCATTGTTAGGACATGGTGACCAAGCTGCATATATGCTACATATGTGTAGGGGGGGGTCTAGGTACAGTCCATTCATGCTTTTCTTTTCATGCAAGCTCTTTGGTTGGTACTTCAGTCTCTGTGTGCCTCTATGGGCTCAGGTGGGTTGACTCTGTAGGTCTTTTTGTGATGTCCTTGACCCCAGCAGCTCCTTCTATTCTTCCTCCCACTCTTCCTCCCACCTCTTCCCCGAGGTCAGCTTACTGTTCGGCTGTGAGTCCCTGCATCTGTTTCCATCAGCTGCTGACTGCCTCTCAGAGGACAATTATGCTAGGCTCCTCTCTCCAAGTATAGCAGAGTATCATTAATAGTATCAGGGGTTGGCTCTTTCCCTTGGGGTGGGTCTCAAGTTGGGTCAGTCTTGGTTTGCCATTTCCTCAATCTTTGCTCCATCCTTATCTGTACATTTCTTGCAGGCAGGACAAATTTTTGATCTAAGGTTTTGTGGGTAGGTTGGTGTCACTCTTAGTCTACTGGAAGTACCAACTGGCTACAGGAAGTGGCCACTTCAGGCTCCATATCCCCATCCCCGCTGCTAGGAGTCTCAGCTGGGGCCACTCCCATTGAATTCCAGGAGCCTCCTCCATCGTAGAGATGCCTTCTCAGTTTCCATTCTCTCCCCCATCTCCCCACACCTGATCCCCATTCCAACCTCCATTTCCTTCTCTATTCTCTCTCCCACCCAGTTCCTTCCTTCCATCTACTTTCAGATGTCTATTTTAGGAAAGCTTTATTTTGTACAATTAGTATATGTCAATTAAAAATGGTGGATGGATAATGTGATATAAATACATTGTATCAAGGTATGAAATCTTCAAAGAATAATTTTTATTTTTTACAGTTAATTCACTTTGTATCCCAGCTGTAGCCCCCTCCCTCATCTCCTTCCAATCCCACCCACCTCTCTCTTCTCCTCCTATGCCTCTCCCCTAGTCCACACATAGGATCGGTCCTGCTCCCCATCTATCTGACCCTAGCCTATCAGATCTCATAAGGACTGGCTGCATCATCTTCCGCTGTGGCCTGACAAGGCTGCCCCCTCCTCAAGGAGAGGTGATCAAAGAGCCTCTCCTCCCCTTACTAGGGAACCCACTTGGACACTGAGCTGCCATGTACTACATCTGAGTAGAGGTTCTAGGTTCTAGGTTGTCTCCTCAGTTGGAGTTTCAGTCTCTGCAGAGACCCCTGGGCCCAGATTTTTGGTTCTCTTGGTCTCCTTGTGGAGCTCCTGTCCCCTCCAGGTCTTTCTATCTCCCCCTTCTTTCATAAGATTCCTTGCACTCTGTCCAAAGTTTGGCTATGAGTCTCAGCATCTGCTTTGATACCCTGCTGTGTAGAGTCTTTCAGAGGCACTCTGTGGTAGACTCCTGTCCTGTTCCCTGTTTTCTCCCGCTTCCAATGTCTATCCGGTTTGCCTTTCTGAATGAGGATTGAGCAACTTCCCTAGAGTCCTTCTTCTTTCTTATCTTCTTTAGGTGTACAGATTTTAGTATGTTTATCTTATATTATATGACTAATATCCACTTATAAGTGAGTATATACCATGTGTGTCTTTCTGCTTCTGAATGTTCAAAGAATAATCTTTAAAAAGAAAGAAGACAAGGGTTGGGAATGTAACTAAGTGGTAGAGTGCTTACTTAGCATGTATGAGGTCATAGCTTCAATCCCCAGGACCAATTCCCAGAAAAAAGAAAAAGAAAACAATAGCAACAAAAACAAAAACCATGAACAACAACAACATGAATGCAGAAACCCAGACAACAAATAGAACTGCCTCAGACTTTGGAGCCAACTTCGAAGCAGAGATATTTTCCCTCTTAACCTATTCTCCAAGCCTTCCAAGCTGTCTCTAAACAAATCACACATTAAAAAAAAAAAAAAAGAGTTGTAGCTGCTTCACAGTTCTTTGAGTGCAGCACCTGCATCTTGCTGTAGATTTCCCAGAGCAGGATGGTCAGGAACTAACTTCTCTGGCATCAGCAGTCTCAGCCCTGCTCCATGATGCACATCTTTGGCTGAATGCAGTCATGACAGTGCTTCAGAAAATGCTTAAGGCTTTCTTAGGGGAAAAAATAGTCTCTCTCTCTCTCTCTCTCTCTCTCTCTCGTTTTTGTTTGTTGTTGTTGTTGTTGTTGGTTTTTTTTTTTAGACAGAGTTTCTCTGTGTAGCCCTGGCTGTCCTGGACTTGCTTTGTAGACCAGGCTGGCCTCAAACCCACAGAGATCCACCTGTCTCTACCTCCTTGGGTGCCGAGATTAAAAGCCTGCACGGTCATGCCCAGCCTCTAGGATGGATATTGGGTCCAGTGAAGACAGGTTGTGCTTCCATGCATAACTGTGATTTTATTATTAGCCTGTCCATTTGACAATCCTATTGTCCTTTCTGTTTGGTTTTCAGACACAAAAGAATCATTAGGCTCCCTAGACCTTGGTCAAAATCAGCTAGCTATTCTTACTGTGAACGGTGACTGGGGCCAGAGTGAAAGTAAGAGTGGCTTTGAAGGAATGGAGAGTCAGGAACTCCAGCCCTCAGCTGATGAGAACTACTTTGGCTTGGGTGGAGTTGTGTTCAGCGCCTGCCAACAACCCCACTCCTCCCATGTCTGTCCTGCTTCCAGCAGATCCTCAAGGGGGCATAAGAACAGGCAGCCTTTTCCTTGTTATCTTGAATCCACTCAGGTTCTCAAGCAGAGACAAAATCCTGGCCCCAAAAATCTGGTTACCCACAGGCCAGGAGCCTCAGCTTGGAACCAAAATGAGCACGTTTTGCCAGTCCACCCCATTGTATCTAGTGGCCTTTGGACTAGGTCTCACCACAACTCCCTGCTGACAAAGAAGGGAAAGTTTGCTTCCAGGGAAGGGAACAGCAGGGAACCAATTGGAAAACTTGAAATAATGCCAGAGGGCTAATCATAAAACTCCAGAGACCACTGAGGACTATTGGAGGTGGACAAGAATTGGAGGGGTTCACTAGATGGAAGCTCCAAGTTTTCAAGACCAAAAAAAAAAAAAAAAAACAAAAAAACACACCTAAGAAATATATTCAAGGGTACTGTGACACACAGACAAGACAGATGAGAGTCAGCACTCCTCCCTCTCCCCCCAAATTTATTAAAATACGAATCCCTCAGCTCTAAGCTCTTTTGCTCTCCAGGACATCAGGGTGTCGTGTGGGGCCCAGAAATCTGAATTTTAAAATTGCTTTCCCAAAAACCCGCCCTCAAGCTTAAGAATCACTGAGTAGGTCATGGCTGTTTTAAATGAAGATGTTCCCCCACCTGCATTGATTACTCTAAAGCTGTGGAGAAGAAGTCCTTACTTAATTCACTACTCGGGGCTCGTCCCACCCAATCCCCTAGGACCAAGAAGCTATAAGACCGGAAATGGGAGCTCTTCCGTAGCAGCTTGAAGCTAGGTGGAAGACTGGGCGAGTCCCAACCATTCCCACGTCAGCATCCTTGTAGGCTATAAGAGCGGAGAGCAGCGGAGAGCCTGCCGGGAGATGTAGTACTCGACGCGGTCTGCGCTTGCGCTCTGACCAGTTGCCGGTGAGCTTGGGAGAACCGTGGGCGCAGAGGCGGTGAGTCCCGGAGCGGCCAGAGGGCGTGGCTGTCCCTAGGGCGCGGGCGCGGGTAACGGGGTTCTTTTCACAGGCTGGGGCCACGCAAACTGGCAAATTTCATTTGTGCTCTGGGTGCCAGGCCCCAGGAGCAAGGAGGAGCGGTGAGCCCCTATTCGTTCAGGGACCCCTCCGCCTCTCCTGCGACCCGACCAGGCCTTGTGGGAGACCTCGAGGGCTGGGAGTGCCCATCTGGGTGGTTGGACATCGACATCCGAGAGCCCTTGGGGACCAGTCCCTAACACTGGCATCGGATTTTAAACCAGCTTTTAGGCTTTTCGGGTACATGTCACTCTTGTCCCTTCCCCAAGTGCCCTCATTTCTTAAGGTTGCTTTATGGGTAGGCCCTGTGAGGGTGGATTCACTGAGGGGAGATTTGAGGCGGGAGAAATACTCTGTGCTTTAATGAAGTGAAGTTCTCACTAGGTAGGGCCCAGGAAAGGAAACCTAGAGGGTCGCTTCCCTGGTAGACGTGGTGGAAGGGTTTGGGTCAGCCAGGGGAAGGCTAGCCAGCTGTGAGGCTGGAGAAGATTAACTAGTGGGTCCACAGCCAAAAGACTGCAGATCCTTGGATGTCCTCCAGCAACGGTTTCATGCCTGGGCTCAGGAAACTAGAAGCTTCCTATGAAGGAGGCTTGACCAGCAATAAGGACTCACTTGAGTCCTTACCTTGTGCCAGGCACGCTGCTATTCACTTTCTGTGCCATTTGGTCCTCGAAGGATATTTTTATGAAGTTGATGCTATCATTATGTGCTTGTTGCAGACAGAGGCATTTGGGTGTGAGGATTACATAGCAAATTATGCCTAAATCCATCTGGCACAGAAGTTTAGGTTACTGTCACGGTAACGGGTCATATGAAGTCAGTTTCAGTTCAGTTGACTGAGTGGAAAGAGATTTAGGACTTTTTTTTTTTTTTAATCGTCTTCAAGAATCTTAAATAAGAGCTGCCTCAGCAAATGCAGGGAGAGAGGGGATCTTTAGTGTATATGCATGTGCAGGTCCTGGGCCCATGTGAGCAACCCTGTGCCTTTGAGACAGCACTAAAAATATATTGCCACTTTTAGTTATTTCAGAAATATTGTATTATTCCTCCTACATTTCTTTTGAAATCTCCATTCAGAAAAAAAAAAATCGACCTGGAATTAGACTAAGTGGGACTAAATACTGGTAGATCAGTGGGGGCTTATGAAAAAAAAAAAAAAAAAGCAGAGTTCTTACCTGTCACTGTAAGATATTAGAGATGTGATTTTGGTAATTACTGAACACCTTAAATTTTATCTGGTATATCTGAGAAATTGAAAATTTCAGTTTCTCAGAATTTTCAGTTTAAACTTAAAATACTGTATGTTATTATGGTCATCTAGGAGAGAATCTAGAGGATATGTGGGTGAACTCAAGAGTTTGTAAATATTTGAAATTGTATGTACAGTTGACTGTGCCTATAAATGTTCTTCTGGGAACTTAAGTTCCCAGCTTTGATTTGATTTTCAAACCCACTAGAAAGACTCTGAAGCCTTTGTGGGAGAAAGCAAAACTAAGTAAGGTAAAGGCAGTGAGTATGCCATCTTGTAACCATTGCTTTTTCTCCTTTTCATGTTTTCCTGCCTTCAGCTGTAAGTGGCTCCCCCCAGATTATTACAGAGAAGAAAAACCCTGGAATCTGAGACACAGACTCCAGATACACTATAAGCTTCTAGAAGAGGTGATGGCTGTGGCCCTGGGCTGTGCAATCCAGGCCTCCTTGAATCAGGGCTCTGTGCTGCAAGAGTATGACACCGACTGTGAAGTCTTCCGGCAGCGATTCAGGCAGTTCCAGTACACAGAAGCTGCTGGACCTCATGAAGCATTCAACAAACTCTGGGAGCTTTGCTGTCAGTGGCTGAAGCCAAAGATGCGTTCTAAGGAGCAGATCCTGGAACTGCTTGTGCTAGAGCAGTTCTTAACTATTCTGCCCACAGAAATAGAGACATGGGTGAGGGAGCACTGCCCAGACAATAGAGAAAGAGTTGTGTCACTCATTGAAGACTTACAGAGAGAGCTTGAAATACCAGAACCTCAGGTGAGAAAAAAAAATGTGGGATCTCTGTTTTTAGGAGAACAAAAAGAAATACCCAGGCTGCTGGGTCTGTAGCCAACAATTTGGCTCTGATTGCACAGCCCCAAGACTTCTCTGGAGACTTCCAATGTTCTGTTGGAATCAGCATCTGGGTCTGAGGGTCTCCACTATATTTGACCCTGTGCACTCTCTATGACACACATATGAGAATGCCCCATTTGCTATTTTTAAATGGAATTTGCAGACAAGCACAGCTTATCTAGAAACTTTAATCACAATTAACAATGATTGACTATGGCTCACTAGCTGCTTCCTGTCACACTATAATTAACTGTGAGTTGTAAGTTTGTGGTGTGGATTTTACTTTGTTAATGAATTGCTTTTCCAAACAGAAGAAGGGAGGAGAGGATAGGGGAAATGTGGCCCACACATTCTAAACTATTTGTTATTTGGTTCTGGAATGATCTGGCTGAAACCGAGTCAAGAAGAGTCTAGAAAGAATGCAAAGGAAGGCAACATAGTTTAGTGTAAACTAATACGTATTTTCTACTAGTGTGTCTGTTCTTCATTTCATGGGAAGACATCATAAAGTGATCACATGCCAGCCCTTCTGCTTTCAATTACTGTGATGGGACAATCAGGAATTCTGACCAAGGTTCCAGTCAGTGCATGAACAGTGTTGTCCCTGGTGATGTGATTTTACAAAGTGGCCAATTTTTTTTTTAAATCCTTGGTAAATGGGAATAAATTCTGCAGTTTTCTCTTATTTGTGCAAAAGTGCTAAACTGTGCAAAAGATGTTTGCTTTCTACCTGGTCAGTAGCGTTTTGTTCTTGCTAGGTTCTTTTCATCTACATGAAGGTTTGAAAAAGTTTCCTGTTTGGGAGAGCGTAGGCAAATCCCTGCATTCTAAGTGATGTGCTCATCTCTGGGTCATTAAGTTCCAGCAGAGCATTGCCTGCCAGCATATTGGCTTCTATTAAGAGCCACCTCTTGAAGGTTCTGTTCAGGGAAGGCATAGATAAGCACTGGGCAAGCTGAACAAGGAAGTAGTAAGAACTTCTACCTGACATTGATAAACCCTTGGGTTTGGGATGAGGGATGCTGGAGCTGTTGACTTGAATACAAGTAGTGGCTTCCATAGGAACTTACCAGAGGTCCCTGCATCCCTCCAGCAGTATAGGTGAATAGTTTTCATTATCTTCCTAGTTTTGCTGAAAATAAAAGATTTTTGTCTTTGGGAGATCTGGGCATGCCCTACATATCTCAAGAAACGCAAGCCACTCCTGGCTCTTAGAATGTAGCCAGTGCAGCTGGAATCAGCTGTGAGTGTGAAATGCATATTCCCCACAGAGACTTTGTACAAAGGGAGGAGCATTAGTAATTATTTGTATTGCTTGTTTTTGAAATTCTGGCACTTTGTATATTTTGTAATAAGCTTATCTCAGTACAGTCAACATACCTTTTTTTGTTTTTGTTTGGTTGGCTAGGTTTTTTTTTTTTTAAGCATTTTCTGCTGGAACCCCTGGGTTACTTTAAAGCTACAGGTGTGGCTCATGATACTGTTGGTGAGGAATGTCTGACTTCTAAAGTGGTAAAACTAGCTTTACTTCCAGGTGAGTCTAGATTTTGGAGTGATGTGTTTTGGCCTCTCTCTCAGATTGACATGGATGACATGCTCTTGGAAGAACTGGCACCAGTTGGAACAGTACCCATGCCAACCAACTTGCACCTGGAGTCACCTGCACTCCAGGTAATGGAACCTGTTCAGGAGCCCCCAGTGCCAGAGGCCTGGATTCCACAAGCAGGGCCTCAGGATCTGAACTTCAGTGCTGATGGAGAATGCCAGTCCTTTCTGGATCCTGGTAAGGCAAGGGTTTATTTTGTTTTCTTGTTGTTTTTTAGTTGTATGTGTGCTTCTGTTTGAGAGCTAAAGAGCACTGAAGCTTTCAGTTTGAATTAGAAATGTGAATGTCCTAATGACAGTGTACCACTGACATAAAGAAATGGAGGATAAGAAGAACAAGAGGGCTGGAGAGATGGCTCAGTGGTTAAGAGCACTATCAGCTCTTCCAGAGGTCCTGAGTTCAATTCCCAACAACCACATGGTGGCTTATAACCATCTACACTGGGGATCTGATGCCCTCTTTTGGCTTGTAGGTGTACATGCAGATAGAGCGCTCATACATAAAAATAAATAAATAAAACCTTTAAAAAAGATCTTTAAAACAAACAAACAAAACAACAACAACAAAAAGAAGAACAAGAGGACAAATCTCTTTCTAGGAACAGCAGGGAGTGATACACTTTGCATAGAATGTCCCTAGGAGCCGGTTCTAGTGATGGCCTTGTCCAAGGGGCTTTTTACCAAGAATGTTATTTGGGAAAACCTTTCATGAGAGTTTGGATCCTCTGGTGAGGACACAGCTGTCCACCAAACTGAGCCTGTGATGTAAGACCCAAAGGGCCAGTTGCTTTTACAGTATAAAAAGCCCCATTTGAGTAGAATACTTCACAACATGTTCCTTTCAGATCCTTGAAAAAGATCCAGCTATTTATAGGGGGTGAAAAAATGTCAATAAAATTCCAAACTAGAGAAGTGTTTCTAGAATGTGGTGAGGATACCTCCTGCATCAGCTTAATCCAGAGAAGTACAAGGTAAGTTATAGGAGGAGCTAGGTCCAGTAGAGAAAGATGGCTGAACCATATAACTTGCATGCCCTTATGTTTCCCTTCCTTTTGGGGTTCTCTGCCCCATTTCTCCCCTCATCCCCATGAAAGATTTGGCTCAAGTGTGGCTGGAACCCCTATTCCCATGGGCACAGTTAGAACATGTTGGCTCTTGGACTAAACTGTACAATACTAAGACAATAGAAGAACACAACAAAATGGAAATCAGTGGGAAGAATCCGTTGCAAAATGGAAATGCCTGATGCATGAATAAATAGCACAAAGTTGAGGCCTGGAGTTTCTTTTTACAGTTTCATTTTTATTAATTCAGCCAACATTCTGAGCACCTGTGAAGAGTCAGGAAAGACTCTGGGGACTGGTGGGAACATAAAGTGGGAAGGCAAGCTTTGGCATCCTGGAGCTCAGAATCTGGTGGGCAGGTGACACATTCAACTACGATATGGAAAGTAATTCTAGAGGGCTTAGGATAATAATGGGGCACATATGAGAGTAACCTCACACCAACTAAGAGGAGGAAGGGGTTAGGGTAAACACCTGTGGAATCAGAATAAGCCTGCTGAGCAAGCAATGCAAGTAAAGAGGGAGAGTAGTCTGAGCAAAAGAAGCACCGTGCACAGAAGAAACACTAGGGACAAAAAGAACATTTGCATTTGCACTGTGAGGGGCTAAAGGGCAGAGGAGCCATCATGGTGATTATTGAGAGGAAAAGGCTGTCAGTTAAAAATTAAGTTTGAGGGGCTATATGTAAAGTGTGTATGTATATTAGCAATTTAACCACAGTCATTTTTATTTAACTAAAGTCCATTTGTTAATTGCAAAATTAATAAAAGAACTTACGTGGAAACTGCAAATAGATCTAACAAAAACAAAACCTTTAAGAATCCCTTCTCTTGGGGCTGGAGAGATGGCTCACTCAGTTTTAAGACCTTACTGCTCTTACAGAAGATCTAAGTTTGATTCCCAGCACTTACATAGTGTTTCACAACTATTTGGAAATCAGGCACCCTCTTCTGGCCTCCACAGGTCCCTGCACACATGTAGCACATATTCAAACATAAGGTAAATACTTAAAAAAAATTCCCTCGTGAAGCCTGATACCCTAGAACTTTGTAATACTATAGACTACCTGCAGTCAGAAACACTAGGTGTAGAAAGACAAGGAGACAGTAGGTATAAAAGCTAAACTACCGTACTAACTATAACTTTGGAAATGTGGAGTCCAAAATTAGTGCTTCTGAACTAGAACACATTTTCAGTTGCCTATGTTTTGGATTTTTCAACTCAGTTAATGAGATTTCACTTTAAGTACATGAAAGATGTCAAAGAACATGCACTTTTGGTGTGATAAAGGATATGAGAGATGAAAATTTAAGGCTAAATGTAAAGACATATCATCTGTAAAGTATCCAGAAGATTCTTTTTAAAAACTACATATTATATATACGTGTGGGTGTGTGTTTTCTGTATGTGAATATGTACATGTGAGCGCAGGTTTCCATGGAGGCCAGAAGAGTATATTAGATCCCCTGAAGCTGGAGTTACAGGTGGTTGTGAGTACTTCATGGGAGTGCTGGGAAGCTAACCTAGGTCCTCTGCAAGGTCCACTGAGCCATCTTTCTAGCCTGAGAAGATTATTTTTAATTAATTAAAATGCTTGTATTTATTTATTGTATGCGTCTGTTCATGTGAGGAGGCCAGAAGAGAATCTGCAGGAGTCAAATTTCTCCTACCATGTAAGTTCCTAGAATCAAAATTAGATCTTTCAGGCTTGTAAGCAAGCAGTTTTACCTGATGAGTTATCTCAGCAGCTGAGATGTAGCTTAAGTTTCTTCAGAAAGTCCTGACATATTAAATGTTATAGTGTAAGTAATATTTAATGCCCAGCTATAGTGGAGCTTAAAAAAGTGAGTTGCTGAATATAGGATGAGAACATCATCATTGAAGTTCTCTCTCTCTCTCTCTCTCTTTCTTGTGTTTTTTGAGACAGGGTTTCTCCATGTAACAGCCTTGGCTGTCCTGGCTTTGTACACTAGTCTGGCCTCAGTCTCACAAAGATCCGCCTGCCTCTGTATCCCTGAGTACTGGGATTACAGGCATGTGCAAGCAAAGTACCTTCTTTCTTAAGCTCCAATTTTTTATCCTTCATATCACATTCCACTATAGTATTTCTTTTGTGTCATATTCCACAATTATAAATCACTTCTGAAGTTTAACAGCTTAAAGAAGAAAATGAAAGAAGTGAGTACTTTTTTTAAAAAAAAAGATACTATTTTTACAAGTTGGGAATTTCCAGAAGATATAGTATGTCTGGCTTAGTATATGAGAGCTAGCAGAACCCTCAGTTTCTTGCTAAGGAAACCTCTCTATATGCATATCCTCACGACAGGCAGCAGGCTTCCCTCTTAGTAGATGATTTCCAAGAAAGCAAGACATGTGCCATGTTTGTAACCCAGTCATAGATCCAACCCACACTTACAGGGGAAAAAGAAAATCTCACTTGATGAAGGGAAGAATGTAAAGTAATTTGAGGACTTATTTATTTTAGAACAATCATTCACCTATTCATCCTTGGATTTAAAAACTAAATCCATTTTCAGCAACAATATAATAACATGTGACAGTGGCCACCATTTACTAGTGTGTGGTTTATTAGGTTTAACCACATGATTTCATGAAAAGCCTGAAAGTAAGAAAGCCTGTTTATTGCATTGAATGGCCTTGCAACCTTTGTCAAAGCTCAGTTGACCAAAGGTCCATAGGTTTATTGTTGAATACCTATTCTCAAGAAAGGATTACATTTACACAATTTTTAAAAATTATTTGGTCTTATTAATGCTATCAGTGTAATTCTCTTATTCACTGTATTTTAGATTGTCCTTTGAAAGTATATGGAATTACTGATGATTTTTGTGTGTTGACCATGTAGCCTACAACCATACTTACCTTGTTTCTTATGATAGATTCTTTAGGATGTTTATATATAAATCATGTCCTTATGAAAGGTTTTCTGTCTTCTGCTTCAGTCTGATTACCTTTCATTCGTGTGTGTGTGTGTGTGTGTGTGTGTGTGTGTGTGTGTGTGTGTGTG